AAGCGTTTCTGGCGGTTTCCGGGCGGGGGGCGGGGGCGGGGGGGCAGACAGGCGCGCGCGTGGGCGGGCCTGAGGTGCCCGCCTCCAGACTACCTGAGGCGGCAGTTTATCGTCCGAGCCCCTCTAGCGGCGGCTGTGGAGAAGAGCGGGGGGAGCCGCGTCGACTTCGAAGCCGTCAGAGCGGTGCGGCCGCCTAGGCAGCCTGGTCGAAAGCCGGGTTTGACAGGAACCGTAGGCGGCAATTTCCCGAACGGCAAAGGAGCAGATGTGGAAAAGCTCTAAACGGAGTTCGAATTCTTTGGTGCTTTATGCTAAGTTCGTATCTTTTTTTAAAACCCATGTATTTATTATACTGATAGAACCAGGTTGGTGTAGCAGTTGCAGCGGTCCTCAACCTTGGCAACTTTTAAGATGCGTGGAGTTCAACTTCCAGGATTTCCCAGCGAGTCATCCTGGCTGGGGAATTCTGGGAGTTGAAGTCCACGCATCTTAAAGTTGCCTTAACCCAGTGTTTCTCAACCTTGGCATCAGGCTAGAAACTGGGAGACCGTGAGTTCTAGTCCTGCCTTGGGCATGAAGCCAGCTGGGGGACCTTGGGCCTGGCACTCTTTCTCAGCCCTAGGAAGAAGGCAATGGCAAACCATTTCTGAAATCTTGCCAGAAAAACTGCAAAGACTCATCAGGAGTCACGACTGACTTGAGGGCACCAAATATATATTTGGACCAGAAGACAGTAGTGGTAATAGATGTAGCAGTGCCAAGTGATAGCAACATCAGGAAGAAAGAGTATGAGAAGTTGGAGAAGTAACAAGCCCGGAAGGAGGAACTAGACATGATGTGAAAAGATGAAAGTGGTCCCACTGGTGGTAGGAGCACTCAGGGCTGTGACTGCTAAGCTGGAAGAGTGGCTCCAACAGATCCCAGGAACAACATCGCAGCTCTGTCCAGAAGAGTGCAGTGCTAAGAACAGCTAAGATACTGTGCAGAACCCTCAAACTCCCAGGCCTCTGGCAGAGGACCCAAGATTGAGGAAGACACATATCACTCATAGGGGTGAGAGGGGATTTTTATATATGTAAAGATTCCAGATAGAAAATGCGGGGCCATTACACAACTTAAATAAGTATGTGGGATGCATGTTAACACTGCACTGAGATGCCCATCCCCATCTTGCCTGCAACCACTTGGCAACTGCCACGCCTGTGGGCAACAAGATCTGGGTCCCGGCCACTGCTAGAGACCAGCCATTCTATTAGTATATCTGTTGGCCTGGTCTTGTCATGCAATTGTCATGTTGATACTGTTCAGCATTGCTGAGAAAACATGTACCATACAAGACCACAAATGTATGTGAGTTTCCTGTTTCCTCCCCAGTTCCTGTAAACCCAACAGTTCGAAAACTCACGTGAGTAGATAAATGGGGACTCTCACTCCGGT